AGACTACGCGGTCGGCGCAGTGCATGAGCAGTGGGTGGAGGGCGCTTGGCAGCCGCTCGCCTTTTTCAGCCGCCAGCTGACGCCTAGAGAACGCAAATACAGCGCCTTCGACCGGGAGCTCCTCGGACTTTATTTGGCCGTGCGGCACTTCCGTTTCATGCTGGAAGGCCGTGAATTTACGGCGTTTGTCGACCACAAGCCGCTCACCTTCGCCATGTCAAAAGTGGCGGAGCCTTGGTCGGCACGTCAGCAGCGGCAGCTGTCCTACATATCGGAGTTCACTACGGACATTAAGCACGTGGCTGGCAAGTCGAACCTGGTTGCTGATTGCCTCTCCAAGGTCGTCATCGGTGCCGTCCAGTTGGGCCCGGACTATACTCGCATGGCGGCAGACCAGGTCACAGATCCCGGCGTCCAGGCCCTGAAGGTGGAGAGCGCGGGGCTGCGCTTGGAGGACGTGGTGTTCGGCGACGCGGGCATTACTCTCCTGTGTGACGTCTCTACGGGCCTGGCGCGGCCTGTCGTCCCTGCCAGCTGGAGGCGTCCTGTGTTCGAGGCTGTGCACGGCCTGTCACACCCCGGCGTTAAACCTTCGGTGCGTTTGGTAGCGGCGAAGTTCGTTTGGCAAGGACTGAAAAGGGACGTGAGGACTTGGGCCAGGGAGTGCGTGGCTTGTCAACGCGCTAAGGTGCACCGCCACACGAAGGCCCCGTTGGAGCGTTTCCTGGTGCCTGAGAGGAGGTTTGATCACGTCAACATTGACCTGGTTGGTCCGTTGCCTTCCTCTCAGGGGTTTTCCTACCTCCTCACCATGGTGGACAGAACGACCCGTTGGCCGGAGGCGGTTCCGCTCGTTTCGACATCAGCCGCAGACGTTGCCCGGGCCTTCATTGCAACGTGGGTGTGTCGTTTTGGCACCCCGTCAGACATTTCCTCAGACAGGGGCTCTCAGTTCACGTCCGAGCTCTGGAACGCTGTGGCAGGCGGTTTGGGGGTTAAGCTGCACAGGACTACCGCTTACCACCCTCAGGCTAACGGCCTCTGCGAGCGCTTTCATCGCTCCATGAAGGCGGCCCTTACGGACGGTAACTGGGTCGACAAGCTGCCCTGGGTGATGCTGGGCCTGAGGACCGCACCAAAGGAAGATCTGCAGTGTTCTACAGCGGAGATGGTCTACGGTCAGCCGCTGAGAGTTCCGGGGGATTTCCTCCCAAATGCATCGGCTCCCTGGTCGGCGTCGGCCCAGCGGGCTTTCCTGCGTGACGCCGCTGAGGCCTTTGCTCCGATCCCTACTACTCAGCACGGTACTCAGGTGTCCCAGGTTCCCGCAGAGCTCCGCTCGGCGGAGCACGTGTTCATCCGGCACGATGCGCACAGAGGCCCCCTGCAGCCCCCTTATGATGGGCCTTTCCGGGTCTTGGAGCACGGGGACAAGCACCTGGTGGTCGACCTGGGTGGCAAGGCCGAGCACGTCTCGGTGGACCGGGTGAAGACTGCTCACCTGGACTTGGACCAGCCTGTGGTGCTGGCTCGACCTCCGCGACGGGGCCGCCCCCTGGCCTCGTCCCCTGTCACGGATTTAAGACCTGTTGTTCCGGTCCCTCCCCTTCCAGGGGCCGCACAGGCGGGAGTCACTTTTCCGACTCCCGTGCTCAGGAGTCGTGGGGGTCGGCGTGTCGTTCCTCCCCGCCATGCTGATTTTGTTTATGTGTGAATTCTGGGGGGGCTTGTGTGGTGACACGTTATTGGACATAATTCACCTTGCTTATTGTGTTGCCACACGGACCCTTTAGTGGGGAACACCTGTAGCTTTAGCTGCCATTCCTGCTAGCTCATCAGGCAGAGCAGTGCATGTGTTAACCTCTCTGAAAGTAATGGATAATAAAGATTGGAACTCCATTCTCAATACACCGCCTCCGACTCTCTTTTCACGGCACTACACTATAAACTTTAAACACAAGTCATGTGCACGGAAATGCTGTTCAACCATTGGTCAGACATGAAGCGGGTAAAAACTACATGTAAACACGGAAAATCGCGGCAATTTCCACCGGAGCCCAACATGGAGCATCCGCAGATTGTTTTCATGCTGCTGTTCATATGGAGAGCATATCAACAGAATGTAGCGGGCGACGCATATCAATACATACTGAGACAAGTGCGGTAAAAAACGTTATAACCGTTAGTTAATTAATTCGTTAGTTGAGGAGTTGGGCATATGGCTGATGTAGGCCTAGGTAATGTTCATAGGATTTCATAATTACACTTCACACACTTTTCTAGTAATTATTTCATAAGCAGCTTTATAGGTTGCTTGCTTATTAATGTGTGTTTTTTATAGTGGTTTATAGTGGTTGCAGTGGTTTTATAGCTCATCCCCCAAGTCAAAAGGACAGATAACAAGGCATGTACACCGGCAGCATAAATAAGTTTACAGTGAACGTACCATTGTTATCAGAGTCCTCGGCATCCGCGGAGTAACTGCGGCTAGTATCCGCCTTAGCAGCCCCGGCATCGGCAGTGGAGCTCAGGCTCCCCTCATCAGGCGACTTATCCACCTCTTCCTCCGCATAGGACTCGACCACATCAATCAATCAATCAATACGGGGCTCACTATGGGTCTTGTGTTAAAGATACTGTCGAGATCCTCATACCAAATAAATGTCTCTTTGATACTTGGGGAGCTGCCGCTCTTCTGCAGCGCGTCGCGCACTTTTATGTATTGTTGTCGTAGTTTCTTCACCTTTATACGACACTGTTCAACACTCCGGTTAAATCCTAGTTGCTTCAGTCGGTCGCTAAAGATTTTTGAACACCTCCGTGTTTTTATGAACCTTCTCCAGCAGTTGAGAAATGTTCTCCTCTGCCCAGATATCCAGAAGGCATCTGTGTTCCTCATAGCTCCACGTTTGTCCCCTGCCGCTCATTTCCCCACCATTTGCAATCCTCTCCTCCACAACAAGAAATGACGCGCAAATACTACGCTATGTTTTGGTGCGGATTGCGTTCACACCAGCAATGAACCGCTCCAGAGTTCGCAAGAAAGCTTTCCGAGACCACCTATTTTAGCGGACCAGAGTCCGGTTGTTTAGTTCACTTAAGAGGTCTCGGACTGCGTTCACACCGACCCAAATGAACCGCACCAAGCGGCCAAACGCACCAGGGTTCGATTCAACCGGACTATACAAGGCAGGTGTGAACGCACCCTTAAAGACCTTGGACCGGACCAACCCGATTTGTATATATCACAGCAAGCTCGTGAAAAAGACAAAACGTATCAACGAGGCAGGCTTCTCACGTAGCTGGTACACCAAAGGCATGGCTAGCTGGATGCAAACAGGTAAATGCTATCTTTTGTTTCCCATGCTTGCTCTTCAAACAGCCGGGGACAAATACGATCTGTTCAGAAACTAGACAAAAGTAAAAAAAGTACAAACCACAGACTGTCTGTGTCATGGAGAATACAGTCGCTGGTTTATTTATGTCTGTATAGGCCGTTGTTGTGAGTGTGGACGGTCGGAGCATATATAACGTTAGCTTAGCCAAGCTCCATTCAGAAAACAAGCATTCTAAAAGGTTTTTCGCCTGCCGTCTGTCTGCAGACTTGTCAAAGCATTAATTCATGGTTTTTACTAACCGGTATCAGTATGTTGTTACGTCGGCATTATTTAGAAACGTGTATTACAATTTAATCACGGTAAAATATATTCATTTTGTTGTAGTTGTAGCTCCCGAGCCAGCGCGTCTTGTTTGAATGATGTGAGTGAACACAGCTGGCAGCCGCGGTGAAACTCGAGCGACTAGAGCGATGTGATAGGAGCGTTTAGAGCGAAGCGAATATTCGCATCGCGTCCGGTCTGAATGCAGCATTAAAGCGAGCTCCGCGCTGCACTGGAAACGTGCCATTACATCACCAGAAGTCCTAATTTAAGGGGTCATTTCTCCCCAAAAAAATTGTTTTACTCACTATATCAACAGCCCCACCAAAAATATTTTCCACCAGCCGCCACTGTGTGTACACATATATCACTTAAATTATTCAATACATCCTTTGTACTGAAGTATTCAAAAGTAAAAATTACATGTTTAATATAAATGATTTGCTGTGGCCAATTGTTTTCATTGCATTTACAGACTCGTGTAACTCTCTGATACCACCCAATGAATGCATTGACATACACAAAACAGATAGCAACACCTATAACAACTATTTAAAAAAAGGGGCTGTATCGACCTATATAAAGTATATAAATATAGTTTTTTTTTCAAAATACCAAAAAGATCCTGCATTTTAGCCATGCGTCATTTCGCTCTATTTGCTCTTTCCAGCGCTGTTTTTTCAGGGGGCTGATTCTGTGAGCTGCAGCTGACCACGCCCCCCTGCAGGAGAGGGGAGCGTGCTTTGAGATCAGCTGCTAGGCTGCAGCAGGGAGAAGAGGGGGAGAAAAAGAGATCTCCGTCCTCCGTGTTTTATTCTTATAGAAGTAAGAAGAGAAGTAATGGGGCAGAAACCCTCCTTTTTACGCAGCGGTCCAGACATAGACATCAGACGGCGACACATATTCAGTTGCCAGTTACTTTGGCATTAGGGCAGGGATATCTAGATACTTTCCAAGGTTTGACACAATGAATTGTGTTACTTTTAAAGCAAGCAACGATGTTTTCAAATATGTAATCAAAAAGCTCCTCAAAAACACGATCGAAGCAGTTCCTGCCGTTGTTACGTTAGTACAAACAGTAACAACGGACTACTTTTCTTAGCGGATGCATGTCAATTTAAATCAATACATAAAACTATTTTTTAAATCAATAAAATCATTATCTAAATCCATAAAAGCATTTAAATTAATATTGGGAGTCATGTTGTTACTTTGTTGAGAATGTGGCCATGTGTAATAAGCGGGATAATGTGCACATTGCATAATGTGCCTTCATGCCGATCTAGATCCCTCCGCAAAAACAAAACAAAAAACGGCTCGTTCGCGGGCGAGAGCCGGCTCCCGTCGTTCACTTAAAAGAGCCGGCTCTTTGAGCCGGCTCGTTCGCGACCGACACATCACTAACAACTACCTCTCTGTCTGACTTCGCCAAGCAGGTAAGGTGCTGCACCGCATGCCTCTAATATTTTAATGTTTATTGCAAGTAAATCAGTTGTAGTCACATATTTTTTTAAAGCACGAGCTAGCTAAACACATATTAGCTTTACTTGACCGGGGATATAGTGCAGTGATGAGTCCTACAACTCGGAAGTGAGTTAGCATTTTACAACTATTGGTTCCCTCGTATCAGAGTCAATGGGATTTCTCCATAGGATTTTGGAAAATAGCTCGTAATAAGATCTGTGGAAAACGAACCTGTTAGATAAAGGCACGTTTTGTTCAGCCGGATAATCTCCACATATCTACCCTACTTTTATAATTTTCGAATCATAAATCTAATGGCCAGAAGCAAAATGCTAACGTTATGCTATTGTCACTACCCGATCTGCTGCTCTGCCCGATCTGCAGTGCGCATGTGCGAGATGGACAACTCCGGACGGCAAACCAAGTAGGACACTTGACACAGTGGCTTTTGGCAAAGCTCAAAAAAGAAAACTCGAGAGAGATGAGTTATTGTTATTACAACGTGACTTTACTATTTAACAACTCTTTTTATTGGGTTATTTTATTTGGGGTTAAGTACATTGTCAGAATAAGTGAGAAATGGATTTAACTTCTGTTAGACAGCTATATGCCATACATTTTTGCATACATTTACAGTAAATATGTATTCAGTATGATAGCTGTCTAACAGAAGTTAAATTCAAGTTAGCTGTTAAATTGAAATAAATAAATATATCTGAAATAAATGGCAATAAATTGACAGCGAGCAAATAACTAATTACCTTTAGAAGTACACCAAAACATAACTGCTAACAATGTAAATGTTGTGTTGGAAAAAAAGTTCATGTAAGAAAATGTTGAGTTAAATACTTTTGGCACTGTATATACAAAGCTTGGAAAAAGGCCTATTGTGGCTGTCATACTTGCATACAGTGGCAACTAATAGTATTGTGAAGAAATGTCATGACAACCATCTACAGACTGTTACTGCACGCTGATTATTGTGGTCCTATTTAGGACAAAACGTTCAGAGCTGTCTTTGTTCCAGTCCGCCCCTGATTGATTAGTGCTTTAACTCGTAATTTACCCCAATGTTAAAGCTTGTTGATGATATGTGAGATTGTAAATTGTCATGCATTCAAAAGTGTTAACTGTATTTTTTCCTTCAACAGATTCCAAACCAAAGCAAGATCAAACAGCACTTTTTCTAGTTCTTCTCTTCTCCCTACTCAGAGCTATATTCCCTACATTTCTTCCTGTCTTCTCCCCATTCTTACCATCTTCATCTCTGTCTCTTTACCACTTTCTCTTTTGTATTTATAAGCACACACACACACTAATTGATGTTCCTGAAATGGCTGCTAAACAAGGCGAGGGACAGCTAGAAGACGCCATTTTCCTTGCCGATTTACTTTGTAAACAACTAAAGGTAAATTGTTTAATTTCAATGGTATTGGTTTTGTGCCCGATGTACTGATTAGGTTGATTGATTATGTGCTTGTAATTCAAAGTGAATAGGAATAAACTGGGAATGAAAAGCAGCTTGTTGTGATAATGCATGACTACTTTATTGAAGGAGGAAGAAGACAGGGCCAGAGCAGCATCTAGCAGGAGCAGAATCCGCTGGGTAGGCAAAGATGCTCAGGGGTGTCCTCTAACAAGGAGGAGCAGAAGTGGGGCAACCTGCCGACGTACTAAAGGTTTGTGCATGTATACAGGTATTCATGATTAACATATGTCGTTTTTGTTTTGATTGTTCGCAACATGATTGGTACAGCATGTTTCAGCTTAGAGAGGTATTGAACAAATATCTGTTATTCCGTCGTACGTATAAAAATAGGCCATTGTAATAAATAGTTAGAGTTGGTTAGAACTGTTAGAACTCTTTTAATGCATAACATTTGCCTGCGATTGCCTCCTGTTCTCTGTAATTATGATCTGTTATCAATATATCTATTATAATTATTATTTTTCAGTCAGAACTGTTGCCATTGACAGTCCAGTGACTGTGGAACCAGCGGGAGCAACCTCTGCAGTACCCCCTCAGCTTGTTGGTAGGATGACATTTACTATCATTGAAAGTTAGGAAATGTGTCAACATAATCAAACGAATACGTGATGCAATATGATTACGCTGTTGTGATGCTGAACATTTTCTTTTTTGTTTGTTTCCAGAAGATGAGATTCAGCAATTGCAGCAGCTTTTGGTTGAAAAATAAATACATGAATGAATCTACTGGTTTCATAATTTGAACCAAAAGTGGTGTATTTTGCACAATTTTTTATTTATCTTTTTCTAATTTTCTTATTATGTCCTATTTATATTATGTTGCACTGTTGGAGGAGCTCGGGATCTAAGATTTTAAATGCCAAAATTACACTGTAGCTAGCATCTGATAACAAAAACCCTTGAACCTTAGTGGTGTTTATTTCCACGGAGGTCAGTTGCTAAGCGATCACACAACGTCACGTCCGGTATTTCCACAACAATGCAAATGGATTAACATCGATTTAATACATTAATGTAGCCTTTGTTTCTGCTAAAAGAGGTGTCGACCAGCTAGGGCCACAAGAAAATCGTCGAGATCGAGTGTGACGATTACATTTTTTTATTAAAAATATCAAATTTGGACAATAAAAACCGACCAATAGTCGCGGTAGAGCATTTGCTTGGCACTTCCGGGTATTTCTCCACTGGTTGGGCCATGTTAACAATACCGTGTAACTGTCACGTTTGAAGGGACGAAACCGTGACATCTTCACGTCTCCCAGCATGGTAAATCGTCACATGTTCACGTCTTGCCGTGATACCGGGTTGGTTTTTTGGGTGGAGATGAAACAAAAATATGTGTGGTGGTGTTATGAAGAAATGTATTACACACTGTTAAGAGAAATTAGAGAGTTTGTTTATTTTATTATAACTTATCAGCCTTGTTCTGATGATTTCAGATGTATTGGCATGAAGTCCAAAAATTACACTCAAAGCATCAACAAACCAGCTATCACAGACAATTCATGGTAAAATCCCATGCTGGAATTACGGGAGGCAGTTGGGTTCAATGTTGTGAATTTGTGTTTATTTTATTTTTTAAACGTTAAAGTTTCCAGATTCGTGAGAAGTGAGAGAAAAGTGTAAGCGCATTTACACCATAATTATAAAACTAAAGATTGTTCAAAGCCTATACTTATTGTAAGGGTTCTTATGGGGAGTTATTTCTTGTCAGCTGCAACAGTCTAAGGACAAACTGTATGAAAGCCCCCCCGAGGCAATTTATGATTTGTGTCATTGGGACGTATGATTTGATTGATTGATATATTGAATTAAAAAAAACAATTTATTTCCTAAACATTTTAATTGTTTGTCAATAACTGCTATGGATGGCAATACAACAGTAAAGAGATAATCATTTAGTGGCAGTTTACATTGACTTCTGGACAGTTTAAATGATTTGTCAGGACAGGTTTGTACTGGACGGGGGCCAATTTGGAAATGTTTCTTCTCCTTTCCATAATGCATGAGTAAATGTACTAAGTTACTTTTGTACCACCGAAATGTAACTCTTGCAAATCTTTAAGTTCCAAACAAAAGTACCTTACACCCTGATCAGAAATGATAAATAAGATCTTTAAAGAGTGATACTTAGAACAGCAGTTTTGAAGTGAGATATTGTCTAAAATGCCCTCTATAGGTTTATACAGAAATGAAACAACAGGTCTGACTTCTGTTTTGGGTTTACATTGTATTGACATGTTATATTACAAATGCATTATTTAATATTTATAAAATATATATGTCTTAAAAAAATGATTTACAAATATAATAATGATTGAAATTGTATATGTAAGGGATAATGTGCAGCGAGGTGGTCATTGTGGGTAAAAGAACACCCGACAGGCAGATCACCTGATGCACTTTGCTTTTCAGCCAAACTGTATACAGTTCAATCGACCGGACTTCTTTGTGCAGATGTGAGCGTCCTTAACAACGCTCTGTCTGTTCTGGATTAACAACGTGTCACGTGTTCTGAATTGACCAATCAGAATCGAGTATTCAACTAAGCCATGTAATAAATGTACATAAATATATGTATTACATTATTTAAACAGTTGATATTATTATCACTATCATTACTATTGGTATTTTTATACAAATTATTATCATCATTACTATTGTTATTATTATTTGTATTGTTACTATTGTTATTATTATCATTACTATTGTTGTTATTAATATCATCATTACTATTGTTATTATTATTTGTATTGTTACTATTGTTATTATTATCATTACTATTGTTGTTATTAATATCATCATTACTATTGTTATTATTATTACCTTTACTATTATTTTTCTCATTATTACTATTTATTTTCTTTTTGTTGTTGATTAAAACTAATATTGATGCATTAATGCAAGGGACTTCAACAGGGGGCCATTACCCATAGGGGGGTCCCCAATCCTCCTCACTTCCGCATCCAAACATGCGGACAACCCAACTCCTTCTGGGGGACCTCCTGGTCAGGATCTGTTGAAACCTCCACTCCCAGTCCTTCTCCGTCCGCAGCAGAACTTTAGAGTCCTCTTCACGCTGGTCCACCAGCTGCTTCTGGGCCAGCTTCACAGCACGCACCAGCTGGTCCATCTGCACCCGCTGGCTCCTCAGCAGGGTGTCTATGGTCTCCCACACCTGATTCACTGCTTCCTCTGTTATTTCCCGCAGCTGGCTGATCTTGATGTGAACCATTCTCTGTTTTACTTTCTCGATAAACTTGTCTTCAGCAAGGTCTTCTACACTATCTGAAAACCTTGGGAGACCTCCAAGGCTGCTCCCTGAGGTCTCTGCAGCGGGTGCATTTTCCTTCTCCGCTCCTTGGAGCGGTACCTCCTCCTCAGCTGTGAAACAGATATTTGTTCTTGTAGCTTCTGTTTCTGGCTCTTCCTGCTCATCACTAGACAGGATGTTGGAAAGGTCCAGCAATCCTGGGGATTTCTTCAGCTGCCACTCTGACAGATCCTCAGGAGCCTGTGTGCTCATGTGACTTGGAGGCGGCTGCAGCTGTTTACTGGCCATCTCCAGCCGTTTACTGGCCACCTCCAGCTTGTTTTGGAGATCCATGTTGATGGCAGATTCAAGGCTCAATCTGGAGGCTGACCTTACCTGGATCTCCTTCAACTGACTGCGGAGGACCTCGTTTGTTTTCTCTTCGTCCAGTTTAGTCTTGGACTGCTTTGCACACATGTTCTGAAGCTGGCACTTTAAGTCCTTATTTAATTTGATTTGGAATTCAAGGTTTCCAGCAGTGTCTTTCCCCCTGCCCACAGCCGCATTCAGCTTCAATTTCAGACTTGCAATTTCATCTCGGTGCCCAGAGCTTGACCCTTTTACTGCATCTACGCCACGCAGCCGATCAAGGACTGCACCCAGGGTCTCATACTTGCTTTTCAGTTTGGCTCTTTCTCTTGTCTTACACGACAAAAGGTCGGTCCTGGTGGAATCAAGTTCTCTACAGGTGTCCATCTCCCAATGTTTATTAATATATGCATCCACACGGCTTCTCAAATCACTGTTATTTGCCTTTGCCATGTTTGCTTGTCTCTGGTTTGTGTTGAACTGAATAGATTGAGGAAGAACTTGTGCAAACCTGTAACTTTCTACTAATGAGAGTAATATTTGAACAAGTAAATAATGAAAAATGTAATGATGTCTTGCTACTCAAAGTCACTTGTGCTAACCTTTGCCTAATGACAGAAAATTAGTTTCCCAAGTTGTCTTATAGCATTCCCTCTGACAGCAATATCGCTTTGATGTCATAGCATTCCATCTGACAGTCAAATTGGCTTTGAAGATGTCATCACGTTCCATGTGATGTGTAAAAATTGCAGTTCAAAACAAATGCACTTATTGTTACCATGGTAACAATAAGAAATAAACACATTAATGTTTTACAGGTGAATTAACATAAAAGTATTAATGAAAAAGCAAGAGGAAGGTGCACTTGCTTCTCGAGTGCTAAGTTAGTTCACATTGGCAAAGTAAGGCAAATTCAGCCATTCATCAAAAAAATGTTATTCGCATATATTTTTGCGTTTTTTGTGCTGAGGAGCATAGTGCGTAAAAGTGGCCAAAGCTCTGCAGAGTTCCAGCTCTGGCATTAATATCAGCACCAAACTGTGCGCCGGGAGCTTCATGGCCGAGCAGCTGAATCAAGCCTTACATCACCAGACACAATGCCAAGAATCCAAGTCATCTTGGACAGCTTGGGGAAGGCCCTTTTCTGTTCCAAACTGACTGTGCCCCACAAAGCAAGGTGCATAAAGGCCTGGTTGGATGAGTTTGGTGTGGAAGAACCTGACTGGCCCGCACAGAGCCTTGACCTCAACTCCATTGAACACCTTTGGGATGAACTAGAACAGAGAGCCAGCCTCTGGTCCAACATCAGTGTCTGACCTCACAAATGCTCTTCTTGATGAATGGGCAAGCATTCACAGACACACTCCAAAATCTTGTAGAAAGCCTTCCCAGAAGAGTGGAAGCTGTTGTAGCTGCAAAGGGGGGAACAACTTCATATTAATGCCTAAGAATTTGGAATGGGATGTCATAAAAGCTCCTGTAGGTGTAACGTGTAGGTGGCCCAACACTTTTGTCTATGTAGTGTACGTGTGTGTGTGTTTTAGTCTGCATATATACATTTTTAAGTATGCAATTTACTTTTTGCTTAATGGTGTCTTCACAATTAACAAAGTTAACTACATTGATTAGCATTATAATTATTTTTAAATAATATAGGTATTCATATTGTGACAGAGTTCATATGCACTCTTTAAAAATAACCTCTTTATGTTACACATCATTCCACCTACATATTCTTCATATTTGTATTATCAGTATTGGTTCTAAAAGTGCTGCTATTGTTTTTCTTGCATTTTGACATGGTATTTTTTTGTCATAAAAAAAGAATAATAAAAAAGCAACGGACAACAACTGTTTGCATAAGAATGAATACTAATTCAAACTAGTCAAACTAACACAAAATGAAAGGTAGGGATGACACGAGATGTGATCAGCAGATTATATTATTTCCTTTAAAAAATATTTCATTACAAGAGTTTACTTCATTCATTCAGACTCAAGTCTTTACATGG